GGTTGTAAAAGCCAATAGGGTGGGAGCATGGAAATTCAAAATCTAGCTAGAACAATGGATGTCTGGAATGGGGCTCCATTTCTAATCATTTTTGTCTATACTGGTATAGAAGAATGTGCTCTGCTGTAGTTGCTGGTCAGACAATGGGTATTAGCAATTTACATTGGTGGTATACTTAACACAACACAGAGTCACAGAAACCACAGAAAACAGCCAAACTATCAACAAGAATGCACACTGCAGATTAGAATTTGCCAAGAGGAATAGAGAATTCCCACATAAATAGCAGTTTACTCACTGCTATTTAGGAAGCAGTTGTATTTTCTCTTACAGTTCTATCATTCCCTACTATATCCAAATCACGACAAAGTAGAGAGTCTAAAGTGGCACTTTTTACATCATATCAAAGGACCGTAGGCACACAATTTTGGGAAAAATAAAGTTATCTTGCAAGAACAAAATACAACTGAAGAATTTTGTTTTAAAGGGGAACTTCAAATTATTCTTTTTAAAATTTCCAGAGGGTATGGTATGTATAATGCTAAAAACTATTTGGATAAGCAATTCTCTTATAACTATACATTTAAAAAGCACTCAATTCAAAAGTACTTGCTAAAGGGTCCACTCTCTCATCCTGGAGCAGTGCTAGGCCAGGGTGGGTGACAACACTTCTCAGCTTCCCCTGCAGCGCCCAGCACAGAGCCTGGCGCAAAGCAGGCCTTCAGCAAACGTTAATCAATTGAGTGATGCCTCGGCATCCACTCGGCATGTCACTGGCCACTTCCATGGCCACATCGCGGTGCTAACTGTCCTACAGATGCCAGTGGGTTCAAATTTGATAAGACTCGCAGAACTGTTTATCTCATCCACAGCTGTCTCCTGTTGGAATATTTTTTAGAGACATAAATTAATGTCGAACTACAACAAAGCACTATTCAAATGAACTTTTTTTTTCTTGCTAGAAACTTCTGAAGACTAGAATTAATACAGCTATTTTTATTCTCTCCTTTTCAGTGCTGACAGAAAGTGATTTGAGGGAGGGACATGGTTCAGCTCAAAGAATATTGTTTTATGTGTTATTTGTCAAAACAGCTGCCATAACCCCCACCCCACATCATTCAAGATATAGAATCCTTTTGTTTTCTGTGATTATACTAGGTTCACTGTATACAAAGTCAAACATAGCTTTAAGGGAAAAAAACAAACAAACAAACCATAAAAGGACATTTTCCCCTTTAAAGCAAGAACATTTCGGTTAATACTGAGCCACAACTGTTAGCCCAACACCCACACACTCTGTACAAGCTACAGCAAAAAAAAAAAAAAAAAAAAAAAATACACCCAGCAGAGCCCTTGTCTGTTGCAGGTACAACAGAAAGGGGACTGGCCAAATTACCTTCATCAGCCTCAATAGCCTCAACAGTAGCTGAAGAGAAGAAAGGGGGTGCAAAATGAATGAGAAAAATGAGCAGAGGATTTTAACTCTAAGAACAAATCAGTGACGATCAGGGAGCTAGGAGATTAATGTTCCTGTAAGTGCTGGATTCTGGCACAGACAACAAAACAGAAATGCTAAAAAGAAAGAAAAGACACAACGAAAATGATAAGTTTATTTTATGTATGAGCTGGATGCACCTGAATGAACTGCTTTGGTTTTTGCTCCCTAAATAGGTGATAAAATGATTAACCCTTTAGGAAAGGCTTTAGGAACGTTTTGTGTTTTACTTGGATTGAATTGATAAGGGACTAGGTCCATCTAAAACGTGCATCTGACTCCCACAAAGTACGATAAAACCACTACTCTGCTTGCTGCTCTATAGTTTTAAAATGCCAGACAAAATGGCAGAACTTGTCAGTGGGATAATTCACACTAACGATTTCCTAATGCCATGGAAAAGCAAGGGGGTGCAGATTTAGAGAAGGAATAAAATCAGTGTGTCAGCTGATACTGCACGTGACTCTTTAAAGACAAACTCCATGTTAGAGAGGAGAGGGAGAGAGGAAAAAGGCAAGGAAGGGAGAGAGATGATTGGGACTTCTTTTGCGAGGCAACCCTATTTAGAATTAGTTTTCCTTACTGCAATACCATTTTTGGAAACAAAATTCTTGAAATGTTACAATCAAGTGGGAACATGCCAGTAGCAGCAATAATTCTATCAGCAGTTTAAAGAAAAAAAAGTCTGAATACTGAAATCTCAGCAGATTTCAGGGGCAAAACCTAAAAATCCCATTGCTTTATCAGCAATTTTAAAAATAAGGCTAGGGTCTATATTTTCACTATACAGGTGTATGAGTCTTTCTATATTATGGCTGGTGGATATTTCCCTAATTAAGTGCTAAAATGAGAAACTTCTCTGTAATGCCAAAATCTTTAATATTAAAATTCTACTCCTTGGCTTTAATTTGCGTATTTCTTATAATTTAAGGTTTTAAAACTAGAGCAACTGCCATATGTGCACTATAATTCACTTACAGTGCATTCTAGATTCCTATGATAAAAATATAGAACGGTTATCACCACTGAGAAGAGCTAAACAGTAAGTAGTTTCCCCTTTTTCACAAATTGAAGGGTATCAGACAAGGAATTTTGAAAATGTTTTAATGTATACGGTTTAAAATATACACTAAGTTTTCCAATTCTCAGGACTAATGAGATTCCAATCGTATTTTGTTATGTGTGCATGTTTGTGTGAGTTCAACACAGAATAACAGAAACCAATGAACTTAAAGGAACAGAAAAGGAAACTGAATAACCTAAGTTAAAACACGGGTGAAATCCTGAAAACCAAATAAAGAACTGTAAGAACTGAAATAACAAGTTTAAAAGTAAAGAACAAACCTGGACCCACACCAGCACCGACACAAGTAGAAACACGTGCTACCCGTCACCGAGCGCGTCCCAGGCTGCAGGCGCCTGGGGCTGCCAGACCCGCGCGGCTGCAGTCAGCGGGGGCCCTTTGTGCGCACGCGCACTCCACTTACGTCAGGGTTTTGAGAGCGTATTTACTTTGGTGGGAAAAATTTCGTTTTTTTTTTTAAAGTTACTAAATTAATTTTTAGCTATAAATTAAAGGGGGAATTTACCTCAATACTATATATTTTCCTACCGTCATTTAGAAATTTTTGTCTTATTGTGGAAATTCAAAGACTGATTTTGGAGTAAATTCTCACGAAAATAAAGAAAATTATAGTGATGCTGCTAGGATGTGACCACTCAGCAGTACCATATTCATGAAGTCGGACATTACTTTCTATAGAGAGAGAGGTGTGTCTAAATAGTGTAACCATAATAATAGTGGAATCTTTTAAATTGAGAAACAGAAAAAAGAAAACACAAAAAAATCCAGGAAAATAAACGAGAGGCTGAGATTGTTTTGAAATATTATAGCATATTTTTGTTTTCATTTTTTTCTGTCAAGGTCTAATCTAAAAGCAAAATTTCCAAAATGTATTGTTAAAATTGGACTCTAATGATAATATTAGTTGGAATAAATAACAAAACAAAAGTAACAAAAGTAAATGAGTCTAGAGTCCTGTGCTGTCCAGTATGGTAGCCACTAGCTACATGTGGCTATTTAAATCAAATTAATGAAAATTAGATAAAATAAAACATTCAGTTTCTCAGGTGAACTCTATTTCAAGTCCTCGACAGCCAGAGGTTGCCAGTGGCTTCTGTGAGGATATAGAAATTTCCATCATTAGAAGAAGTTCTACGGGACAGCACGTAGCCAGAAAGCTACAAATTTTAATACAAAACCTTGATCTCAAAGGAAATATTTTCATTCTTTCTAAAAAATAAAATATGGTTCTTCTCAAGTCTCATGTTTTAGATGCATAAATCAGAGAAAAGATGCATATGACTCAATTTCTATTCAAGTGGATAATGAAATCACCCTTTTTATATTCTCCACTAAATTCTAGGCTTAGGGATGTATATTTACGTGTGTGACTTTATTTCACCAATCAAGTAGAAGACTAGTACATTTAGTAAACATGTAATTAAAAAGTTGTTTTTAGCACCTGATTGGCTCAAAGCCGTCAAACCTGTTGTGCACGTCGGTTGGCACCTAAGCGAGCTGTCCTATGGGAGGCCTGCACCTGCGGGTCCACAGACACGAGGGGACAGGCCACAGTCCCAGGGGAGGGGCTGCCACGGCGGCTCTGGGCTGCGGCCCTCCCTGCTCCGAGGGGGCTCTGGGCTGCGGCCCTCCCTGCTCCGAGGGGGCTCTGGGCTGCGGCCCTCCCTGCTCCGAGGGGGCTCTGGGCTGCGGCCCTCCCTGCTCCGAGGGGGCTCTGGGTGATGGCCCTCCCTGCTCCGAGGGGGCTCTGGGTGACGGCCCTCCCTGCTCCGAGGGGGCTCTGGGTGACGGCCCTCCCTGCTCCGAGGGGGCTCTGAGTGACGGCCCTCCCTGCTCCGAGGGGGCTGAGGGGGCTGTGGGTGACGGCCCTCCCTGCTCCGAGGGGGCTCTGGGCTGCGGCCCTCCCTGCTCCAAGGGGGCTGAGGGGGCTGTGGGCGACGGCCCTCCCTGCTCCGAGGGGGCTGTGGGCGACGGCCCTCCCTGCTCCGAGGGGGCTGTGGGCGACGGCCCTCCCTGCTCCGAGGGCGCTGTGGGTGACTGCCCTCCCTGCTCCGAGGGGGCAGAGGGGGTTGTGGGCTGCGGCCCTCCCTGCTCCGAGGGATCTCTGGGCTGTGGCCCTCCCTGCTCCAAGGGGGCTGAGGGGGCTGTGGGCGACGGCCCTCCCTGCTCCGAGGGGGCTCTGGGCTGCGGCCCTCCCTGCTCCGAGGGGGCTGAGGGGGCTGTGGGTGGCGGCCCTCCCTGCTCCGAGGGGGCTTAGCGGGCTGTGGGTGGCGGCCCTCCCCGCCCGCGGGGTTGGGCAGCAGTGGCCCGCGCTTACCGCTCTGCAGCGTCTGCTTGCCTCCGGAGAGCACGCCGCTGGGCAGCATGCCGGTGGGCGTGAGGCCCTTCAGCGTCAGCACGCTCTCGCTCTCCTCCCTGCGAAGGCAAAGCAGTGGCCGTTAGCGGGCATTCTCTCGAAGGAAAGAAGAGAGGAGCACGAGGCAGTGCACACGACACCTCACGCTGGCCTCTGTCTTGGCTCCCGGAATTTTGTTCCCACTTAAAACATACTACATTTTATTGAGTAGCAGTTTGCATAAATGACAGGACTTCTACGATAAAGTTTCAGCTCCCCAGCTGCGGGGCTCGGCCCCTTCTGGGCACTGAGGGCGCAGCGTCTGCGCGGCCCCCGCGGCCCGTGCCCGCGGCCCAAGGAGCACGGGGAGCGCGGGTGTGAGTCCTCCAGCCGAGCCTCAGCACCAGCGAGGGGGCCCGTCTGACTGCGGGGAGAGCCGCGGCCGATTACAAACCCGGGCGGCCTGCAGGACCTGGCAGTGACTTTGGGCATGGTTAAGAATTTCCGACAATTCATGGCAAACACGCAAAACAATGGCAACTAGCCAATAAAGCAAAGGGTAAGATTTCCCAGCTTTTCGTTTTCAGCTTCTTTCCCCACTGATTTGCTAATATAAAAATTATTGTATTACTCATTGTGACAATCGTTTCACAATCAGTTTTATGTACCTCATTATTTCAATTATATTCATTAATCACAGCACCACATTAGTCATAATGATGAACTAACCATGAAATAGGAATAACTTATCTTTCCACAGAGCAGACACTGTAGTCCTACATAACTAGAAAACAACATTTACAATACATTTTTATACATAGCTCATGTTTATAATATGTACAAGTGCCTACTCCATATTTTCATGAAGTTCTAACATGACCCAGGCAGAATCCTAACCCCAGGCCTGCTACTTCCACAGCCCTTCTCCCCGCCATCTTCTAGCGAAGCTCTGAGCAGCACCCTCTGACGCTTTGTCCCCTCTCATCCCACACCTACCTACCGGCAAATCTACCCTCAAAATATGTCCAGTATCTTACCACTTCCCGAAATACTACACCTCAACTCCTAAAACAACATTACTGAAATATAATTAACATACAATTCAGCCACTTAAAGTATATGATTCAACGGTTTTTAGCAATATTGACAAGAGTTGTGAAATCATCAGCACAATCTGTTTTAGAACATATTCATTACACGAAAAGAAATCCTGCGACCATGAGAGGTCACTCGGTTTTGGGGGTTCCACTGCCCACTACATTGCCCCCTGGCTAGAGACGCTCCACGGGAGCAGGGGTTCTGCCGGCTTTGCTCACTGCATCCACAGCAGCCAGGCCAGAACAGCATCTGGTTCAGAGTCGACATCCAAAAAACATTTGCTAAACAAATGAGCCAAAGGAAAACAGAACGGAGAACGGGAGTGTTAATCCACATTTTAGACTTCTGTATCCTCTACTGCAGAGTTTTACTCAAAAATATTAGGTTGGAGATGGCCAATTAAGCACTGTTCACTTCCGTGCGGGTATTTCAACCTTTTCAGGCTTTTGCTGTCAAACCCGTAGAGATCACATAAAGAAGAGATGTCTTAAATGCCAATATATAGATCTGAAAAAACTGGGAGTATCTCCAAAGAAATGAATATATCTTTCCTTTGCATTCATATTCACTATGAGGCTTTAACCTCAAGAACGACTATAATTCCCTGTACAGGATCCTGGTATCACATCCCCTATTAACCACGAGATTGCTTACATGGAACAATGAAAACCAATGATGCTCACATAAGATCAATTAAATTATTAGTTTTTTACCTACAAAAATTTTCTAGCAACCTGGAGTTTTTTTTTTTGTTAATCTTCAAAATTTTAATTTTCTACCAACTGTAGAAAGATCTTTTTGGGGAAATCACAGCTTTGGGGTCAGACTCACCTGGGCTAAAATCCTAGTCATATGACTGAGGTTGGGATGTTGTTTAACTTTTCTGGCCTTTAGTTTCCTCGTCTATAAAATCACATTCATAATTAGAAAGTTTCTGTGAGGATTAAATGATGTACTGTAGGAAAAAGGCCTTACCCAGAAAATGGCCACTTTCTCTCCTTCCTTCCTTGCCCCCTTTTCCCTTGTCACTCAGCTATTTTCCTCATCTCCATATATTCTGATTGCCACTCCTGCCTCACACAGAAGCCAGGCTCTCAAAAGCTCTGACAGCTTCTCCATCCCTGACTTCCAGCCACGCTGCTGAGTTCTCGCTCAATGGTCCCCTCTGCCCTATTGCCCACTGATGATCTTGCCCCACTTCTGGAAAGACTCCTTGCCCCCGTCTGTAACGCTTTCTTCCCTGGTTCTCCTTCACCTTCCTGGTGTATCCTCAGCCCCTTGGCTGATCTCTTCCTGTCTGCGGATCGGTGCTTTTTCTGGCACAGCGGCCCCCAGCTGTGTGTGGCCTAACCCCTGAAACATGACTTGGGATGCGCGCTACGTCTAAGACACACATCAGATTTCAAAGACTCAGTACAAACATTCGAATGTAAAATGCCTCTTTAATAAATTTTATACCAACTCTATGTTGAAGTGATAAAATTCTGAATAGATGTGTTAATAGAATATATTGTTAAAATTAATTCCACCTATTTCTTTCCACTTCTTTTACTGTGGCTTCTAGAAAATTTAAAACTATAGATGCAGGTCACATTACATTTCTCTTGGAAAGCACTATTCTAGAGGATCTTGTCTTTTTCTCCTCCCTCCACTCTCCCTAGCAAGAACATCCACTTATGCGGCTTCAGCTTTGTGTTCACTTCCGTGTCTGATGTCTAACCCTCACCTCTCTCTGAAGCTCCAGGGCAGAATTTCAAAAGTGCGTCTACATGAATATTCCACCAGCATCCCAGAGGAAAATGCGCCAAATTCAACTTATCATAGTCCTCCCAATAAATACCTGCTAGATATTTAAATGGAGCAATCCTTCCTCTCTCTTAGATAACAGCACTATTATCTTATCAATTGCATAGGCTAGTACCTCTGTGGAATATTCTTAAAAAATTTCTTCCCCTCATCACCCCTTGCATAGGTTGGGGTTCTTTTAGCAACCATCAGAACCTACTCTGGCTAATTTTAACAGTAAAGAAATGTATTAAAGGATATTAGAGAGCTCGCAGATCCAGAGAGCCAGACCTGAATGCTCTGTAGCCAGCAAGAGCACCAGTGCCTGTCCACACTGTGGGATGGGCTGTGCGAAATGCTGTGACTGCGATGGAGAGCCGACAGCTAAGCTCATGCCAACTCTGTGGAGTTAGCCCCGACCACAAAAGCAGCTCTTCTACTGCTGGCCCCTGGGATTCCACACCTGGCCGGAGTCGCCTTCCCCACTTGCAGCTTCCCCATGATGCTCAGTTTGAAACAGAAGTCTTCCATGCATTCATTTGATCCGTGGATGCTAGGCAACATACCTGCACCTCTCCCGCAAGGGCTGAGGAAAAGACAGTTTTCTGGCTCCTTTATAATGTCACAAATTACCAAAATGTAAGGAATGTGTTAGACAGATATACCTGACAAATTTGGGCCACCATCCACATTCATTCGTTATATTTTAAAACTTCTAAGCTTCACAAGTTCCTTATATTTGTTTCTTCCTTTGTATCTTTCCTCCTATAGCCTAGTTTTGCTTGCATTATTTCAAGTTTCCTAAATGCTCTTCCTAACACCAGTAAATCATGCTTTCCAGTCTTCATGCTGCCATTAACATATGACATAGAAACATGCGTTAGAGCGTGCCTCTTATCCCCGGAAAATCATTCTGTGACTCCCATTGCCTACACACAAAAAATTAAACAGCATTCAAGGCTTTCAAGGATCTGGACTTAAATACATTTTCAGCCTTTCTTACTAGATTCCTCACTCTCCTTCACATCTTACTGCTTGCCTCTTTCAAATACTTAAGACTCCTTGACCACCTGAGTTCGCTCTCAAGTAAACTCTCCTTGGTGCTGCTCACTAGCTGAGTTTGGACACATTGCTTAGCCTTTCTCAGTTTCAGTTTCCTCACCGCAAAATGAGGCCAAACTGACCTTGCAAGTTTGCTGTGTGGATTACTGCCAAATGCGTTCACATGGCACCTGGAATTTAACAAGCATCGCAGAAAATGTTGCTCTTAGGACCATGTGACTGTGTTCTTGACGATTTCTCAGCTTTCAGGAATGCCTTCACCACAATTCTCCGCCTAACAGAATCCAGTCTCTCCTTCACAGCACTGCTCATGTCAACCTCTTCATGAACACTCCTGTCAGGAAATATAAGGGCTCTTTCCCGTCTTCTTCCAGAGCCAAGCATCTCTTCAGGTATTTAGCACACATTCCACTGCCTTGTAATGAGTTTATTGTCTAAATGTCTGTGATTCCAATTTGGTGTCCAGATTGCCTAACTTGGTATGTGGCACACATTTAATGGTTAATCATTACTTACTAAACTCAACTGACTTTTCTCTGGATCTGACCCCCTGTATTCTGCAGATTTACTACAGACGCTTTATTATAGGAGAGCAATAAAATATACCTCATTTTTACTTCCCATCAATATGTGCAATCTTAGTCAAGTCATTGACCATTGCTGGGTTCAAATGGACTATTTCTCAGCTGGGAATAATTACATCTTATGCACCAACAGGCAGGGGCCTAGAGGGGTCTTCCAACTGAATACTCACCGATGATTCTATAGCACTGCTCTTACTCCTTCACATGGTCTGAAGACTAACATAGATGGAAACAATTTCTTTTTTAATTAAGAAAAGCTCTTCCTTTTTCCCTAAATGTACTTTCACATGGAAATTCTGGAGCTATTTTTACTTCTCCTTGTAGAAACTTTAGGAAGAAAAAGAAGTAAGAGTGTTTATGGGTAAATCGGAGGTACGATAAGTAAGCCAATGTCTGTGCAGCGGGACAAGCTGAGCTTATCAACTTCACATAGTCCTTTGCCACTCTTCTAGCCACAGGCCTTCTTGCTGGTCCTACAGCGGTTGACCTTGTTTCTCAGATCTTGGCACTTGCTTTGCCTTAGATGCTTACTCTGTATCTCCCCAAAGGTCATCCACACACTCGCTCAAATGCCAGTAACTCAGAAAGTCCTTTGCCGATCATACATTAGAATAAGTGGCTCTTATCATGATGGTTTTGGATATAGAACCTTTTTCCTATGGTAGCTTATAAGTAGTGAAAATATTTAAATCTTGATTTCCAATATACTGTCACGAAACACTTTCATTTAATCAAATTATTATTTTTCTGTGGCTCTTTGGTGATGAACTAATTCAACTTTATTGTTGGGATTACACAGTCTCTTAGGTAACTAACTGATTATCAGGATTTTAAAACTTGATGATTTGTTATTCTAAATTTGTTGATTGCAGTCAAGTGAATTAAAAAAATGAAAAAGCTCTATTTTTAACTGTATTTTACTATTTCTTACATATGTGCTAATGCTCACAGAGATTGGTAATCTAAATGGACTTTCCCAGGTAAACATAAATACATAAAAAATAAAATAAGTGCCTCCCCTCCCACTTGCTATCTCCTACATCGCTTTACTTTTTTTTTCTTCATGGTAACATAATCAATGCTTTAAGTTTTACTATCTTTATTATTGAACGAATGAATGAATGAGCCCAGAAGGTCCCGTTAGGATGTAAACACCAGAGCAAAGGCTGCTTCGCTCGTTGGGCTGTAGGGAGCGACAGTGCTCCAGGGTCAGCTTTCACGTGGCTTCTTGAGATTTGGCCGGCTACCGCAGAGCTCTCGCCGACTTGGATTTGGTGCCTTTGACAAAGGGTGGTAATGCTTTTCATCCCTCTCATGGCTCCCTGCTTTCAGCATCATCATTTAGCTACTCTTTAGTGACTCTACCGGGAATAGGATACAAATAGAAAGAGGAGAAATAAAAAAAGCCAAGGTAGCTACTTTAACAGAAAGAGTTGAGGTAAAAATTTGGCAAACACTAGGTTATGAAATTATGCAATATGTAGATGGACTATTTCCCAAGGTATTCCTAATTTATCCTTGTTAATGCGTGATTATGAATTGACTATATACTCCTCACATATAAACATGCTGTATTTTAAAATAACTTTTCTGAAGAGAGATATAGTTACTTTGTATTACCTAGGAAAAGATAATTGAATTTAAGTTAAAAAAGTATAGTTAATTCTCTTCAAGAAATGACTTATTTTCTAAATCTAGACTTAATAATAACATGATTCATGGTCTATTTAAAAAATAACTACTACATGGGAATTGAAATATTAAGTAATTATTATTATTATTATTTTTTAATGATCTCAATGGCGGGACAAAGAGCGGGTTGTATGTGGCAAGGTCCCTTTCTCTCAGGGCACGGCAGGGGTCCATCAGGCGGGTCACCTTACTAGCGCTGACCAGGTACCTCCAGATCGGCTGGTTCAGGACTCTGTTCCTGGGAGAGGCTAGAACTGTAATTAAGTCAGGTACCGAGTCTTGGTTTGGTGACGTGGGGCTTAGCATGTGTGACTCCATTTTGGGCCTGCTGTCTCTTTTTTTACAGTCCTGAGTGAAATTTTCAAACATTTGAATTCATTTTCCGCTTGCTGGACTTCTGTTTGTTTTCCTCCACTCTCTGAGGTCAGGGGTTAAGTCTTTTTTTTTTTTTTTTTAAAGATTTTGGTTTTTTTTCCTTTTTCTCCCCAACCCCCGGTACATAGTTGTATATTCATTGTGGGTCCTTCTAGTTGTGGCATGTGGGACGCTGCCTCAGCGTGGTTTGATGAGCAGTGCCATGTCCGCGCCCAGGATTCGAACCAACGAAGCACTGGGCCGCCTGCAGCGGAGCACGCGAACTTAACCACTCGGCCACGGGGCCAGCCCCTTAAGTAATTATTTTTTTTCCTTTCAATGATTTTTTAGAATGATATAGATTCACATAAACAAGCTGTACAGTTGGTGTTCATTTCCTAGAAATCTAGTGAAATGTACCTGATAAATTCAACTTTCGCCACAAAGCCAAAATGAGAAATCAAAGAGTTAAACAGCCTTCCCCCTTCACAACATGTTCCACCTATTTGGGAATACATGTTTTAAAGTCTGGCAGCAAACAGAGGGATAGAATGCGAAGCAGTCCACTTAGAGGCTTTCTCTGCAGAAATAATTTAGTATATTCCAATTTGACCAAAATAGTGAGGAACTGATAATTCCATTTAAAAGAAAAAAGTAATAAAGGAAAAGCAAATATTTTCTAGTACAATATTTAAATTACCAGATTAAAGTATTAAAATGTTTATTAAGTGACACATAATCAAATTCAAAACAGAAATAGAGGAAAAATGATCCCACCTGAGAACTGAGAACACTCTGGCCATTTTGCCTATTGCTCGGATTTTGTTCCTTATCACCTCCTTCCGGGCGGCAGCTGTTGCTCCTATATTTTAAAACAGAGAGTTGAGCAGTCAGTGACTTTTCATCTAACAATTATTTTACAAATTTACACATATAATAGACCAGTTATTTTTTCCCCTCCTCTAAAAGGATTTATGTGTAAATCAAGTTTAAAAACCTAATGCTTCTGGCCATTAACACTTGGATGTGATTCTTGAGAGGTCCCCAAAGTGCCAGAGTGGGTTCTGAGATTTCCAGGGGGCAGTGGTAAAGAGCTAACTGAACCATCACTGAGCAGACAGGTGAGTTCCAGCCCGTCTCCTAACGGAGCTCCCTTCCCATCTGATTCTGCACAGAGAGTGCGCATGGCAGGCAGCGGGACGGGAGCCACCAGGGCCTTCTCCTCATCTCCCGTCTCCACGCTGGGTAGACGGGTGCAGGAAACCAGTTTGTCAAAAGTGCTCCTTGCAAGTGATCAGCCAGGGAGTCTCAGCTCCCTATGTTCCCTGCATCATCATTTAGATTATTTAATGGCCATAAAACATTTCTTTCAGTCCTTGATACTTTTTCATCTTCTGATTGGCTCATAAATTCTAGAGGAAAAAGCAGAAAACTACTGAATTGGATTTAGTGAGAGACAGTGGCACATGGTTTACATTCTAGTACTTATGTAATAAAGTTACACATAGATCTGTCTGGATACATTTTACCACTTATTACATTTTCCAAATGGAAAAAAAATCAATCTACATAGGTTTTGTTACTATAGATGAAGTTTCTTTCTTTCTTTTTTTTTAATGAGGAAGATTCCCCCTGAGCTAACATCCGTTGCTAATACTCCTCCTTTTTTTTTTGCTTGAGCAAGATTAGGCCTGAGCTAACATCTGAGCCAATCTTCCTCTACTTTGTACATGGGATGCCACCACAGCACGGCTGATGAGTGGTGTAGGTCTGCACCTGGGATCCAAACCCACAACCCAGGACCACTGAAATGGAGCATGCGGAACGTAACCACTCAGCCACAGGGCTGGCTCTTGAAGTTTGTTTTTTATAATATTTTAAAAATAACACTACATGATCTTTTTTTTTTAAAGATTTTTTAATTTTTCCTTTTTATCTCCAAATTCCCCCAGTACATAGTTGTATATTTTAGTTGTGGGTCCTTCTAGTCGTGGCACGTGGGGCGCCACCTCAGCATGGCTTAATGAGTGGTGCCATGTCCATGCCCAGGATTCAAACTGGTGAAACCCTGGGTCACCAAAGCAGAGCGTGAGCACTTAACCACTCGGCCACAGGGCCGGCCCCAATACTACATGATCTTTAATGGATCCATTCTGTTTCTTTCTTAAATTCCCAAGGTATGTTTGGAGAAGAGCAAAACACAGAAAAACACCTCTCTTGTTAAGACTTTTAGAACCCAAGGTAAAAGGAACGAGATGTCCTTTCTATACATCACACGGGGCTTTGTAGGAAGTGTGACCACAAGCAGATTGTCTTTCTAATTCTACTGCCGCTAACAGAAATACTACAAAGATTCTGTTCAGATGCTATCAGAAATGCTCTAATTCCAGTCAACAGTGTAAGCCACATAATTTGCTCCGAGACTGCACTCTCTAGATGATAAGTGGTGTAAATGTTGGTCTTTTAATTTGTGATAAGAACAAGCTTTCTGACCTTTTTGGAAGGAAAGATTTCTGCTGTTTCCTTTACAGGGAATGTTTCCCTTTTAAGAATGTGACTTGGAATCTTTTTCATTGTTCCATAGGGTCAAACAGTTAATCACCACCCTAACATTCCTCTAAGGAAGAAAATTCATACCAACACTCACATGATTTTGAAGTGTTGGAGAAGGCCTCCGCTTTTTGCTACATCCTAAAAAAGTGAAAATACAATGGGCTCCTTTCTTCTCCTGGTGGGGTTAATCTGTCAGAGGGGATCCTAATGCACACCCATGGATGCACCCATGGGTGTCCCCAGAAAGTGCCCCAGGGAGCTGGCTTCCCCCATCTCCCCTCTGACTTGACAGCCTCAAACGGCTCATATTCGTGTCCACTTCCTTCCCTGTGTGGCAATCACACCATGGCAGGTATCTCCCAACACACCTGAAAGGCAGGACTTACTAGTGCCAGCCATTCTGCCCAAAAACAGTGGAGTCAGTTTAAATGCATATGGCAGAAAGTCGTTCTCCAATCCAGTCTTTCTGATAATCAAGTGGAATTGGCTCCTTCAATTATACTCTATTGGCCAGAACATTGGAGGGGAAAACGGAGTGTGTGTAGACCCTGCGTCAAACTTTATTCTGACCTTCTAACAATATTTATTATCTATGATTTGTGATTAAAATTTTTTTACACAATAAATTCTGTCCTAGAGACCATCTAAAAGACTGAAGTTTCTGTGCTTGGATTTTCAATGATTTATGATCAAGAAACTAATAAAGGACATTTGTTAAGGAAAAATAAGCTGGTCACTTAAGGTGGTTTTCCTATATATTTTTTTTTTCAGTTATTCAGTTAAATGCTGCTTTTGGTCTAACTATGGAGTCCGCTATTTCTACTCTCAGTTTAATATTCCCCAGTCTGATGGACCCAATCACTCAGAGGTCACCTTGTCGTAAGTGTGGGAAAAGACACTAACCCTCTCCCAGATTATAAAATCAATCTGATAGACACAAAGAGTGGAAAGTATGGGAGAGCTCCAAAAATGGTGACTACGTTTAGAAGCACAACAAGAAAAGCAGCAAGAAGGAGTAGTTAAATGTCTAGAAATAAAATTGTATATATTTAAGAGAAATGAGAAGGGGAAAACGTAAAATCAAATAAGTGAAAAATATCTAAGAAGGATAATCTCCCAGCAAGTTCTCAATAAAAGACTTGTAAAAACCATAACCAGAGCAAAGAGAAGCAGGAAACTACACTGGAAAGGGAGGGAAAGCAATGATGTAGAGTCGTTCTTCTCAGCTCAGTGTGAGCTGATGCTCACAAAAACACCCAAACAAATGCTGAATTTTCGGTGTAAAACGAACACTCTGACAGCCAAAGCCAATTTACCATTCCTTCTTTTTCAGATCTAATGCCTCCCTGGAGAGTTGCTGCTGGCGCCATTGAGTCGATTTCGACCCCCAGCACCCCTGTGGATGCCCAGTGGAGCCCCGCCCACTCTGTCTGTGCCATCCCTCTCCCCATGGAGAGCGTAACAGCCATCGGCTTGCCATAGTCAGAGTCGTGCTCCCAACACAGGGACGCACAGCACATCACAGCATTTCTCTAAGTGAAGAATGTGGTCCCTTTTCAAATTCCTCAATAACCCCGGTAAGTAAGAGGTTTGACTACTCCTTTCATAAAACTGGGATATATTTACTCAAAAAGTCAAATAAGCTGATCATAAACAGTTATCAGAGAGATTAAAAACTGATGTCTCTTAAAGTTTTACCCTGGGGATTACCTTCAATATTTTCCAAAAAATCAAAATAAAAAATTAATACCACACATTTATAACCTCACAAAAATTTAAAATATCCAAATAAAATATCTGATTTAAAATGTAATTGAACTTAAAGGAGCTGAACAATAACAGGATAGAATTAAGTTTGGATACAAAGGTCCCTGCTTATTTAGCATTTCTATTCTTGGTTTTCGGTATTTTACAGAAATCATTAAAACTCTTTAAAAAACTTATGTTCCATGACAAGTCCACAGTTCGTATTCAACAGACAGATCAAGGAAAAGGCATGTTTTTCAGAACTTTACCAGCTGCCACATGCATATACAACGTCATAGTCAACATCCTGGAATGCGCTCTGTTGAAGCTGTGGAAATGACCACGGCGGCTCAAATGGAAATTCACTATGTTGGATAAGGAAGGCATGTGAAATACCTTTTACATTAAAAACGTCATAACTACTTTTCACTGAAAACAATGTAATCACTCATTTTAACCTGAAAGTCCCAACTTCTGAAAAGCAACATTTCATATATTTGAAAAAATAATTTTAAGTAAAATTTCACTTTGTGTTTCCATCAAATAATTATTACTGTTTTCTTGGACTTCTCTCTCTCTTCATCCCTTAAGTTCTAATCTTTTACGCCTGTGGTATTAGGCTACCATGTCGAGAATCTAGGCAACCCTGCACGCTCAATCTTCCTCAGAGTGGAGGAGGCTGACGTACAGACCGAGGGGACCTTAAAGGATGTGCTCTCCCCGTGTCCTTCCTGACCTTAACTCAGCACCTTGCTGCTTCTCACAAGTCATAGCTGTCTGTGCCGAGCGGCCTGGTGGGTGAGGGCTGCACCCACAGGGGCATGCGGCCTCTGACGGGAAGAGGAAATGCAGCGGCGTCCTGAGACGCGGGCCACGCGGGGTGTCCGCACGCACTGCAGATGCTGGTTCTGTCACCTGCGTACAGTCCCACCCTGTAAGCTTCTACGATAAATTCCTCAGTTTCCACTGAATTCAGGGCGTGGAGACAGTGCTCTAGAGAACAGAATTTATTGCCCCTATCATTTTCTTTAAGTGTTCTTGTGAATTCTATCCTACATAGCCTGCCCTGTGCTAAGTGCTAGCAACAGAGATAGAATACAGCAAGGTCCCTGCTTCAGGAGAGCACGGAAAGACGACAGAGGGCTGTGACGGGCGTTCCAGTGGAAGCTGCAGCGGTGTGCACAGCGGGCTGCTGACAGCTTCTCAGAGTGCACGAGGGCATCTCTTCTCAACGCACGTTCAGTAACTTCAGGCTGCGAGCCTGAAATCAGCTGCAGGTGAGAGAATTGATGCCATGGAAGTCTGCGAACGCTACAAACCAGGGCCATCCTCCCCCAGGTGAACGGGTTGTTAAAATATAGCAGCCCATCACTGGAAGTAGATGCTAACTGCCTGGGGGCATGAAGAAAACGTTTACCAAAACAGTGATACTTGAAAGATTAAAGTATAAGCGAGTCAAAGAGTAGGGAGAATGGATATTCTCTGCAGTAGGAAGAGAATTTTCAAACATGTGGAGGCAGCAACATTCATGTTTCCTTGACACAATGGGTGAGAAGTCTGGTGTGTATGGACTTTGGATACATCGGGTGAGAGGAGAAGCAGGAGGTGCCTGGGGCTAAGCTGTAAAAGCTTTAGAGCAGCAGTACGCCCAAACACGAAGTCCAGACGTTAGCATACTGTAACAGCGGTAAACAGAATCCACTTGTCACTTGCTCCCCGAAAAAAGGAAGAAAAAATTGTATTGATGGATGGGCGGAGAGAGAGATATGTGACAAAGCGAATATAGCCAAATGTTAATTGTAGAAAGTAAGTGAGGGTATCAACTACACAATTCTTTCAACATTCCTGTATGTTTGAAGCGTATTGTGATGAAATGTCAAAAAATACTTGGAAGAGGCTGGGTTTTCAGGGAAAAAGAGAGAGCAGCTTTGAGAAGAGAGGTCTCCCTTTCTTTGTGGCACGTGAGGGATGCAGAGCTCGCCAAAGGAGGCACTGAAGGAGAAGTCTCCATTTGGGGACACTCGGCCTCCCCTCCCTCCCTCTCCAGCCAGCTCCAGGAGAAACCCGACTGGTAAGATTTTGTTTTATAAGCCAAATCCAACAGAATTGAATTGCTTTCAGTATCTTTTTGCAAGTGTAAGAAATGAAGATGATCAGGTACATAAAAACTTTACACACAAATATCTTAGAAAATAGGAATATTTTCATATTATTAGAGTGAAAAAGGAGCTTTTAAAAAATTGAGTTGTTTACTCTTTAATGAAAATAGTAGCAGAAATTTTCTACTTTACTATACTGGTCTCAAATGTTTTGCTATTATTTAGGCTTCTTTCTTTAAAGAACTTTTAACTAATACAAGTATATCATAGCAAATTTTTAAAATGAAATATACTATATAAAAAGGTGTGCACATACACTAACATACACATACATCTTTTTCAAAGGAAAGATGTATTTTAAGAACTATATTTTGCTGGGAGGCTTTAAATCTCTTTAACCTTTTAATTCAAATTCTAAGAAAATAATACAGAAAATTCACCACTTTTCCAAACATGTTAAAAGTTAAAGTTAATCTCTGCAGGAAACCTATTCTACTTGAAAGTAAAATTTTATCATGGTTTATTATTATTGACTCCAGATTTTATTTTTCATCAGAGTATAATTACTGAATTTAAATAAAGGCTATTGATGGAACAAAGCATAAGGCGTTGAGATAAGAAATATCTTTTGTTGTGTTATACCGAAGACAAAAATGTGTTTGGTTTCCATCCAAACTCAACAGTTTTGAAATACAAGATAGAGTGCAAAAACATATGTTTTCAGATGCCTCTAAAAGCCTTGCATAATTGGTCTCCATAGCCTTTTACAGATGATGATCAATTTATAAGGATACAGACTGTCTTATTTGGGAGAAGAAATGCCCCAAATTGGCCCCCATAAGGCTGCAAGGCCATACCACGTGCTATAATCCCTAAATCTTATCTTTCTTGTCTTTTCTCTCCCTGACCTAGTTTAACAAAAACAAATGTTGGGCTTCTATATCCCAACAAAGTGATGCTCTCCAGAAATTACTCAGACATCTGCCCAGGTATGCTCTTGGCTATGTGTATAACAAGTGCTTCACTGCACTTCCCTCCACCAGGCGCTGGTCCTTGGATTTAGGGACAGCACCATAAGCACTGAGTAACTGTGTTCACTCTGATGGACTAGTTTTAAAACTGCAGCCTTTAACTTTTTCTTTTTTTTTTTTGAGGAAGATTAGCCCTGAGCTAACATCCGCTGACAATCCTTCTGTTTTTACTGAGGAAGAGTGGCCCTGAGCTAACATCTGTTGCCAATCCTCCTCTTTTGGCTGAGGAAGATTGGCCCTGGGCTAACATCTGTGCCCATCTTCCTCTATTCTATATGTGGGTCACTGCCACAGCATAGCTTGATAAGCAGTGCATAGGTCCACACCCAGGATCCAAACCAGTGAACCCTGGGCTGCAGAAGTGGAGTGTGTGAACTTAACTGCTACACCACCAGGCCGGCCCCTAAATTTTTTACTCATTCATCTACAAAAGAATATCCTCCAAATACTACTACTCCCACCTCCAAGTTTAAATAGTTGTAAAGAATATAATATTGTATAAAATTGTAAACATTGCTATTTTAAAATTAAATGACTACATTACTTTTATTAGCCAATGGCATATAAAGTACCACAGCAATTTCATCCCACCATCATCCATTGAGAGAAAAAAAAAAATCTACGAACAAGATATTCATTGATATTTAGAAACCTTATGTTAGTCCTTTTTCTCTTAGAAATTGTATTTCCATTTCAATTTCCCTGATTTTACTCTAGTGAATTATATATGTATACTTAAAAGTATTTTTATCACATTATACTTTGCTATCAAAAATATGTTTAGAAATTTAAATTAAATGTACTTTAAAAATTTTCTGAGACAATAAGGCCATAAGTATTCAAAAATTCCTTTGTAATCAAGATCACAATTAATAGTAGTACATAATTGAGCTAGATAACATAAACGTATGATAAATGTTTACAAATATTTAAAAAGCATAGAAATAAAATTTTATTGGCATGCATTCCTTAATGATAGGGATGGGAAGAAGGTTACACTGCCTTGATTAAGGAGATTTCCTAGACACTAAGTTTGTCCGACATCTCCCTGTTTAGTATTCCAGTGCCAAACATCTCAAGGCAATGTTCATAGTGATTACACCCGGGGAGAACTTTGTCTTTCTGTTAAGATGGGAGAAGGGCAGTTGAGAAAGAGAAGGTGGTAAAGAAAAAGCTGCAAGGAGGCCTGCAGCCTCCACAGGCTGATCACTTTCAGGGAAGAGGACATATGGAAGCTGAGGATGTGAAAATGCATTCCCTCAAAACTCCTCTTGAAACGTCTTTGCATAACCCCAGGAGTGCAAATATTCTGGCCCAAAGGCTGCTGCTCTACCAAGAACTGAATTCCTTAGTTTCTAGAGTTGATAGCTGTTGGAAGATCTCCCTGACTAGCCATAACTTGGGAATCCTGTGTCATGCATTTAGGGTCAGTGCTGGTTAAATCTAGTCCAAAGAGATTGCTAGGAGCTGCTGATAACAAGATAGCAGTATGTATGCTTACGGAGGTTACGATACCAGGCAGAGGAAAAACCTTCTGGATAGCAAATTTTATGAATCGCTGTAAAAATTCACCTTTTTGAGGATTATAACCTAAAATGTTTGGAATACCTTTCTAATTTTGATTCTAGCTCTACCATATTACAATCGATGACAAAATTGGGACATAATGGCTACACACTTCAAATCATTCCAAACCACATA